CCCTTTTCCTGTATTCTCTGGTTGGGGAGGAGAAGTATTTACCATTTGCTCTCAAGTGTCCTTGGTTGGGGAAGATAAGGTCTTGTGATTCACAAGCTGGCTGCAAGCTGCCTAAACTGTTGGACTTTGTTTAATTTTCTTGTCTCAGTTTCCCCTTCCACTTGCCCAGGAATTTTCTGAGCTGCTTACTATACTGCCACAGAATCAGCCTTATATTTCTACCCTGGTGGAAGACAGGCATCATTTTTGATAACAGTATTCATAACAGTTACTCATTTGGATACTAAAAATATAAAATATTGTAATTTTAAGAGATAATCTATTTGGCCCCAACCCATTTTGGTTGCCAGCTTGCTATGGGCAAATCACTTGAGCATTCGTGCCATCAGCTTCCATATTTATAAAATGAAGGGTCTGGAACCATTATTTACTAGTAAACATTAATTACTAAGCTTATTTACCAATAATGATGTGTTGTACTAGAAAAAAATTAGATCTGGAGTCAAAACATTGTTTGAATGACTTGAACAGTGAGTGTTGTATGAAAAAAATTATGAAATAACCATGAAGAAAGCAGTACATTGACTAGAATTTTAAAAAGGAAATTGGGGTATGGTTGCAATTTATTCACTTCATCGTTTCTAGGTAAACAAAGAAAATTAAAGCCAGAAGTCCATAGAATATTACAACATATTTTTATTATGATTAATTTTATAAAAATAATCTTTAAGGTATAGTAGGTAGACTTTTTACAGTATTTCCAAATGAAATGGAGAAGGGCTCATTGAAAATCTTTGTTTCAAATTTGTTGACCTTTAATTAAAGTGATTGTTAGTAATATGCTTTCCTAGTGGGTGTTTTTGAGAAAATTTAACTTGTCCCCTCAAGATAAAAGGGGAATTTTAATAGTGAGTGAACAGTGAGTGAATTAGCTGCTTTTCCAAAGAAACCTGAGCTATGGAGAAAGCATTTTGATGATGAATGTTTGGAAATGCGTCCAACATTATATAATTTTGTTGCTGAAAATGATGTGTTTCACCTACAAATATTATATCTGCCCACTTAAAACACTTGGAAACAAATTTTTTACTTGTTTTAAAGTTAATGTATTGGAGTTCTCCAGAGAAACAGAACCAAAGTGTATGTGTGTGTGTGTGTGTGTGTGTAAATAAATAGATAGATATTGATTTATAAGCATTGGGTCACAGGCTTTTGCAAACTTGACAAATCCTAACTCTGCAGTGTAAGTCTAGGGAAGAGTTGCAGTTCTAGTCTAAAGGCAATCAGTTGGCAGTATTGCTCTTTCAGGGGGAAGGTCAGTCTTTGTTCTAGTAAGGCCTTCAACTGATTGGATGAATGAAGCCCACCTACGTTATTGAGGGTAATCTGCTTTGTTTCAAATTCACCAATTTAAATATTAATCTCATCCAAAAAATTCGTTCACAGAAACATTCAGTATAATATTTGACCGTATATCTGGGTAGCCAAATTGACACATAAAATCACACCACAGTCAGTTTTAGTGAAGTTTGAACCTATTTGTTAAAAATGCAAAGATGCACTGTTTCTGATTAGTTTGTAAAAATCACAGACTGACATCAAGGAGACTTATTAGCATATTTTAACATAAACAAATTTTAACAAAAACCTTTCCATATTGGTGGATGAGGTTGATAAAAGGAATTGAAAAATACAGTCAACAGGGAACTTTTTCCACTTAGCTCTTTATATTTTTGTGAGGTGTCATTTATTTCCCAGCTGTGACAACCACTAGAAACTAAATGTTACAGTTTAGAGACAAGGCCTTCAGATTGCTTTGCCTTTAAGTATTAAACCAAGATTTTAGAAAAATGGGTCATATTCAAGTCATTGCTCTCACTAAAATTGTTGTTAATATTTTAAAAAGTCATGGCCCAAAGCCTTTTGCTTGTTAAATAAGTAAAAATATTCTTTAAAAATAATGTTTACTTCATTTTCATTTTTTGTGTGGACTTTATAATTACATATCTTAATAGTTTAGTGTGTATAATTTAGAATTATACATATAATAGAAGTATTTGTTCAGATTTTTTACTGATAGGGGAGGGGTTTGTTATAAAATATTTGGAGATTTCATCTAGAAGATATGATGAAAATGATACCAAGAAACTGAAGCATTTCAGAAAAATGAAGGATGATTATTTCAACTTCAGACTATTCTTTTTTTGCAGTGTTTTTTTGAGAGTTTTTAAATTTGAAAGAGAATTCCAATTTTTAATGGGACATATTACTAATAGACCAATTAAGTTTACTGAGCAGTGCATCCTCTTGCTGTTTTCAAGTCTTCTTAGGAAACCAAATGATAATGTAAAAGTTGCATGAAAGAATAGAATTAGAGTGGTAAAACCAAACTATGATAGGCAGATAAATTGTATCTCTGCTGTTTAGAGAGTATTTACTTTTACCAGTAGAATTTTAAAATGATTTAGGGAAATAAGGATAAGGAAAGAGATAAAAAACAAAGACTTGGAAATTCACTTGTAAAATAACAAATGTGATTAAACCATGGGTGATTTAGGGAAGAAAAACAACTAATATAGAAAGAGGTGATATTTGACTATTTTAGCAGTATTGTAGTCTTGAGATATGGGAGAGAGCTCCAAGTTATTAGTTCATTTGAAAATTATTCTTAAAGGATAGGAAATGATGGTTTCTCGGGCAACAGGTAGAAAGGAATATTTTTTGAGAATTGTAAGAGCCTTATAGGGCATTGTATTAGTATTGTGCATACTGCATTTTAGAACACTTAATCACATCAGTATAATCCTATTGAGGTGGGTGAATGGGACTCCCATATTAAGATGGAAAAAGTTCAAATCACCTTGGTAACTTGCCCAAGAATTAAGAGCCCAGAATTATGAACCCAGTTAATTCTTGATTCTGTTCAGCTAAACAAATCTTCATTGAGTGCCTGCTGTGGTGTCAGGTATGCATGGTGCTTATGCCTGGGCAACTCAGAGTTGAGTAATACATGGTTCCTGCCCTCAATATAGTATGGCAAGTGAATAAGATAGTAATTTTTAGGGAGCCTTGGGACCTAGGCCAACACCACTTATCCCAGTCTGTGAGTTTAAGGCCATTTTCTGGAGGACTGAGTATCCTGAACTGAATCTCAGAGGAGGAATCAGAGTGCAGAAAGGTGACTAGGAGAGGGTGTTGCAGCCAGGGAGAACCACCGCATAACAGTGTTCAGGGGTAAATCAGCATGATTTATGTTGAGGAACCTGTTTCTGTCTCGGTCTTAAGGATGCAGTGGGACCAGCAGAAGAGCCTAGGTTTTTCCTTTTTTACCTCATTGCCTCTCTGGACAGATATTGGAACGTAGTTAAAGCAATTGTGGATAAAATTAGACTTTTCAATGTGCTTTTATCTTCTTTTCTAGGATCAGTTCGACAGCTTAGACAAGCATACCCAATGGGGAATTGACTTCTTGGAAAGATATGCCAAATTTGTTAAAGAGAGGATAGAAATTGAACAGAACTATGCGAAACAATTGAGGTAAGTTAAGTTTTTTTCCCAATTCTCTGAAGTAAAATTACATGTTAAAATAGTTGGATGTGCCGTGCCCGGTGTTGCTCAGTGGTTAGAGCATTGGCCCTCGCACCAAAGGGTCACGGGTTTGATTGCTGGTCAAGGATACATACCTGGGTTGCAGGTTTGATCCCTGCCCCCAGTCTGGGCATGTGTGGGAGGCAACCAATCCATGTGTCTGTCTTACATCAGTGTTTCTGTCTTTCTCTTTCCCTGCTCCCTCTTTCCTTCCCTTCCACTTTCTCTAAAAATCAATGGAAAAAATAGCATCCTCCGGTGAGGATTAACAAAAAAAAAAAAGTTGGGTGTTAGCTAAATGCGATACACTAGTGGTTAAATTTTGTTTTTCATTGAAATAGATTGAATTAGATAACTGGCTTGTTTTGATGATCTATTTAATTAAATCATAAGTATCTTTCATTCCAGAAAGATACTTAAAATTCTAAAATCAGGAAGCAAAAATGCTAGGAAAAAGAAATGCCTTGGTATAAATTCTGTACTTGACAGTTTTATTTCTTTGTAGTTTTTTTGCTTTTAGTAATCTTTCTAAAGCATTGAAAATTTTTTCAGTTTCTCATTTTTTTAGAGTTTCTATGACTTGGAAATTGAGTGTGCTGAGCTGAGTTTCTGTCAAAAATCATATATATTATTGATGGAAGTGATTTTGGAATATATGTTAGAAGATAAATGTTTTAAAGGGAAAATTTTAGTCTTAAAACAAATGGAATTAATTTCAAGATTTTGTTAAAGCAGAAGATCATTGTTGGACCACAACTTGACAAGTAGTTTTGCTTTAACTTATTCAGTAGAAATGGTACTTGAAGTCTGAAGACTAGACACAGATCAATATGAGGTTCTAGGGATAGGGGTTAGGATTCTTTATATTGCAACTGACAGAAAATCCTACCTAAACAGGCACACATGGCTAATAATTGTAGGCATATTTTGATTCTGGGGTCAAATGTGTCCAGGCTCCATTTCTGGATTCTGCTTCCCCTTGTTGCCTTTATCCTCAGGTTCCATTCATTAGTACGATCCCTTCTGCCTTCTTAGCTCTAGATTACATATCTTTATATTCTTGCATCCTGACAAAGAATGATGGTTTTCTCTATTGTGCATTTGGGGGAGGAGAGATGATAGGGAAGGGGGAAAGAAGAAAGTGAAGGGAGAGGAGGGTGATAGAAGGAATGCAGAGTGCAAGCTTGTATCAGTTTCTTTTCTCCAGAATTCCCAGTAAAGATTTCTCCTTTTGTCATGCTGACTATGTTTAGTTTATATGCGTATCCTGAACAATTCACTGAGATGAGAATAATTAGAATGACATAGCTAATAATGGGGGAGGGATAGTTGTCCTAAAGAAATTTAAGGTAGTGGATCTCAGAAGAAAGGGGATGATAGTTGCATGATAAACCATGTGTCCTCTACAATAGTAGTGGTTTATACAACCTACTGGGTTTAGGGATGGAATTAGACAAATATGATGAATAGATTATTTATAATATTTTTATAATGATGCACATACTATTATTATGACATTTATTGAAGGAGTGGCATCACGTTAATTTCCTCATCCATTGCTTCCTTTTTTTTTAAGCAGTTATTTCCCATTTGAGAATATAAACAGAGAACTTATTACTGTAATAATAATAATAGTGATGATATTTCACCTATCCAAAAGTTACAATCTGGAAACTTTACTCCTCAAGAATCTAGGAGCAATAAGGACCTCTGAGAAGTCACAATAGCAATCAAATTGTATTCACCTGTGAACAACAAAACATTTTCCTAATTTAATTTTTAATTTGATCTCAATTCTAGCACCTTAGTTCTTTGGATTCCAAGTTTTCCAATAGAAGCGAGAAGAAATGGCTATAGGCAATACAGTGATGGCAGTGTGAAATGACAATAAAGGAAAATATTAAAATAGTATAAAAAACAGCCCAGCCTTCATGGCTCAGTGGTTGAGCATCAACCCATGAACCAGGAGATCAAGGTTCGATTCCCTGTCAGGGCACATGCTCGGGTTGTGGGCTCGATCCCTAGTAGGGGGTGTGCATGAGGCAGCTGATCAATGACTCTCTCATTATTGATGTTTCTATCTCTCTTTTCCTCTCTCTTCCTTGCTCTGAAGTCAATAAAAACACATTTAAAAAATAAAATATTACAAAAAACAGATTAAAAAAATTTCCAGCCTAAAAGTACACATCAGTAAAGGAATGATGAAAAATACTGTGGAATATGCAGTTTAAATAAATCAGGTATACCATCATATTTAAACTTAAAAGGATGTTTAATCTATTAATGTAAAAAGCAAGTTGCAGAACTGAATGTATAGCAAATCTGCTTGCTTACTCCAGTTTTTGGATACAATTATGTATAAAGTTTGTATGTATTCTCATGCACTCAAATTGTTTTATAGCAGTAGCAGTCACCTCTTGGGGAATAGGAGTGGGGATGGTAAGGGAAGGAACTTTTTTACTTATACTTTTGAATTATTGAAGTCTTTTCAACAATTATGTATTGTTTTTATAGTTTAAAACATTTGTTTTTAAGCAAAGAATGTGGTATACTTCAAAAGAGAATCTTACAACAAGGTATAAAATAAAAATTGGTAATTTTTAAAGTAAAACTTCAGCAGTCTGGAATATTTAACTGTCTGGAATAACTCAGGCTTCAAGGGTTTCAGGACAACCAAGGTTTCACCAAAGTAACAGGACTCTAATCAAATGGCAGACTTTTTTGCCTTTCTCTGTGTTTTGTGATTGATGATAATCATAATTTTTACTTGCAAAAAGATATTAGAACACCACTTCACTGAAGCAAAGGTGGCTAGAACCCCCAATTATATTATATGAAAAATACAATTCTGCACTAAGAAAGTAGAGTTTATGATGTACCGAAGCCCTAGATCAGTGATTTGCATCTTTTCTTCCATTTTTTTTTTTTGTGTGTGTGTGTCCCAGCATCCTAACAAGGGCTCTCACTTGCTCTCTCTTTATTTTTCCCTCCTAAATAATAACTATATTCAGAATGTTAAACATTTACATTTTAAGTTACTGGAAGATGTTGAGAAATTCCAATAAGGACTAATTGCGAAGAGGCATGTATAACTTCAGACCACCCATTCCCTCCCCTTTACATTGAGATTTGCTGCTTTGGATGAACACTTAGTGATTATCAGCTGCTCTTTATAGTATCTCTTTTGACCAAAGGGAATAGGTTTGCCTTGTTTATTTCCTCTTCTTTAATGGGAAAAATTCTTTTGGTTAACTCCCTCTTGTTTATGCTACTACAGAGGACAATTTTTTTCATAGTAGGCAGCTTTTTTCCCTCCTAAATAATAACTATATTCAGAATGTTAAACATTTACATTTTAAACATACAGGGTGGGGCAAAAGAAGGTTTACAGTTGAGAGTATGGGAAACAGAGTTTATTCTTGTATTATTATTTATTTATTGTTGTATTATTTTCCATACGAACATTGTAAACCTACTTTTGCTCCACCCTGTACTGCAAGATACTAAAATTTTTCAACCTTTGGTATCTCCAGTTTATTTTCTTCTCTTCTATTTGTCTGTTTTGATGGCTTTGGTTTAATTTTACCTTGATTCTGGTAGTGGTTTGAGCATGGGAATAAATAGAAGGTACATAGCTATCCACAATTGAGTAATCTCCATTTTGATTGATGATAAAGGGCAATTTCAGATAACATGGTAGAGCGTTTTATGTTTGCAGACATAAAAAACAGAATTCAGTCACTAATAATCTTACTGTATTTGTATGGCAGAGAGTAACTAAATTCTAAGTTAAAAAAAAAGCTCTATATAACATGATAGGTGTGTAATTTTATTTCCTTTCTGGTAAAAATAATTATGGTATTAAGAGCTGTCATAGAGATTGTTAGGTGAAATTATATTACCTTCCACCCAACACCATTTCTTTTTGGTTCAACTGTGGCAGGATGGTATACTAGAAGAGAAATAGATTGGATGGTAGGAAGCCTAAAAGCTACTCCTATCTTAACCAGAGCAGAAATCTCTCCAGATACCTTTTTTTTTTTTTAAGTTTTTTCTTTTTTGTATTTTGTATCCCTCCACCCCACCCCCAACATCTGTCAGCCTGCTCTCTGAGTCTGCCACTGTTTTGCTTGATAGTTCATTTTGTTCATTAGATTTCACATATAAGTAAAATCATATAGTACTTGTCTTTTTCTGACTGACTCATTTCACTTTGCAATAATGCTCTCCAGGTTCATCCATGCTGTCACAGAGGGTAAGATTTCTTTTTACAACTGAATGGTATTCCATTATGTAAATATACCATAGCTGTTTTATCTGATCATCTACTGATGGTCCCTTGGGCTGCTTCCAAATCTTGACTATTGTAAATAATGCTGCAGTGAACATAGGGGTGCATTTATTCTTTTGAATTAGTGTTTTGGGTTTCTTTGGATAAATTCTCAAACGTGGAATTTCTGGGTCATGAGGCAGTTCCATTTTTAATTTTTTGAGGTATCTCCATACTGCTTTCCACAGTGGCTGTACCAGTCTGTATTCCCACCAACTGAGCATGAGGGTTCCCTTTTCTCTACATCCTCACTAACACTTGTTGATTTGTTGATGATAGCCATTCTGACAGGTGTGTGATGATATCTCATTGTGGTTTTGATTTGCATTTCTCTAATGATTAGTGATGTTGAGCATCCTTTCATATGTTTATTGGGCACCTGTATGTTTTCTTTGGAGAAGTGTCTATTCAGGTCCTTTGCCCATTTTTAAATTGGATTTGTTTTTTTTTTGGTGTTGAGCTTTATAAGTTCTTTATAAAGTTTGTATATTAACCCCTTACCAGATGTATCATTAGCGAATATGTTCTTCCATTCAGTGGATTGNCAAAAAAAAAAAATGGAAGAAAAGATGCAAATCACTGATCTAGGGCTTCGGTACATCATAAACTCTACTTTCTT